AAACTTTCATTACAAGTACTTCCTGAAACAAATATGAGAGAAGGATTACTCCTAGCTTGCTTTTTTGTTTGTTTGTTTATTTTCTTTTTTGGGAGGGTTTTTTTTTCAGTGGTCGCCTTACATGACAGAAGAAGCAAGCAAGTGTGATGGCTATTGTTGAGTATCCCAAAACTATCTGCACAAAATCTTGGCATTTGCCTTTATTTAATCAGTGATTGTAATTCTGCACCTGTATTAAGTTAATTTGGGTATTAGGGATTGAGCAAACAAAGTAAAAGGAACCTTCAGTCATAAAGAATGACAGTCTTCCAGCAATCTTTAAATACGGGCAGGGGACAATATAAACAGGCTGTAAGCACTCAGTAAAGGTGATTACAACCACCTAAAATAGATGACCACTTTATAGGGGTGAAAATTATAGTACAGAAGGGAAAAAATTTCAGGACTTTGAATTAACCAACGGCTTGATATAGGGTAAATGTTTGATGCTGTGCATCTACACCCAGGTTCAACTGTAGTACAAAATGAAACTTACGTGCAGCAGTTGCTATAGATAAAAAAGAAGAAAAAGAAAACAACACAGATGACAACAATCATTCACTTGACTCTGATGATGACTTCCGCACAGGTTGTCGAAACGTCAGTCACTACCACCGACAACAGTCCTTCTTAGGACTACACTCACCCGGACGATCAGACTACACCTTCATATTCCATTTTATGGGAACTTAGCTGAAGCAGCAGTTTGTTTGAGGGATACTTATCACAAACCTTCACTTGTCACAAAATAATTAGCTTGCTTAATAAATTATTGTCCCTGGACATTACCAGTTCCTCCATGCTCACACTTTTCCTTGTTACAGAAAACTGTTCTCTTATCTTGGAATAGACACTAACAGGAACACTCATATGTCCTTGCATGTTCTCAAGCCAAATGGAGGCTATTGTTTTTATAACTAACCATGTTACAAATCACTTTTAAAAAGTTCATTAAGTCTATGGAAAAGTTTATGCTTCAACTTACTTGCCATTGTCATTTGTACTGTGGAAACAAAAAGGAAATGCAAATTAACCTTGATTATAGTCTCAATCATTGAACCTTAGATTGCTCAATTATTAAGCAGGTTCTCTTTGTCAGCAGTGTAGGAAATGTCTAAAGGGCACTACAGAGAATACTTATCCTCATTGTAAGGAAGAAAGTTCTATCAGCATTCAATTCTTCACATCCAAAGTCTAAACTTTAATTTTCTACTCACTTTCTTAAAATTTCTCATCATCTTAGCTCCCTTAATGGGCATTGTCCAAATACCCCTTACTTAACAATTTTTCTTTTAACTGCATGATTAGCATTCTGCTAACTATACTCGAATCATGTGCAGGAAATTTTTTGGGTACTTCATGTGGGTGAAAGGATCCACCAAATATATTTAAAAACTATTATTCCCCCTTCCCATTTCAGGAACTTTTCCAAAATTTCTCTCCCTTATCAATAATTGCATGTTCTTATGTTAGCTATGAGGTTAAGTGTGGATAGCTAAAAAAGGAGCTTTCTGATAAGCTTTTAATAAAAAAAAGTAAAATGCAACTTCTCCTATTAATATCCATACATTATAAACTCAACAAAAAGGTAATAAGAACGCTTAAGTCCCTTGGTGATCAGTAGAAAATGTCTACCATGCTATGATTGACCATTTCACTCCCAAGATCTGATTGTTAATTCTCCCCTCTTGCTGCTACACATTTCCTTGTAAATTGGTTATGAGAATTTGGTGTGAGATCAAGATAATACCTTCTACTTGCTGAGTTAATTTGAGTATTCTCGTTACCTATTTGCTGGAAAATGCATGTATATTTTAGGGAGAAGTAGCATGTGAATCAGTTCTCGGCAAAGTAGAAAGGTTCTTTAGCAATCTGATATAAATTCCATGGCTTGAATACGTGAATCAAATATTTTACAATATGTTACAAAATATGTCTATTTATCAATTTTTGAGACATTGTGACAGCTAGTCCCTGCGGACAGGGGAATAATTATAGCCCCTAGTGCAGTCAGAAAATTATTTCGAATCAAAACCAAATCTAATTTAGTTCTTTCCTAAGTAAAGTCTTTCAGTTGACCAAGTCTAAGGCAAAATTATTTTTGATGCGAAATTGACCAGGTGGAGATAAGAGTGACAGCCTCTTAATTGTCCAAGCCAATTTCACTTGCATTTGAGGGTTTTGGTTTACAGCCCTTTCTTTCTTTCTTTGATTCCTTTGGGGTTAAAAGAAAAAGAGGAGAGAAAAAAAAGTGAAAAATCAAGTCTTACTTGTAAAATTGTGAAGCCCTGGCATTACAGCTGAAAATGAAACATTGCAACATGTAAACCATATGCTTTTGGTAAACATTTTCTCCCTCATGGTACAAAGATGTTTGAGGGAGTACTTGTCAAAAACCTCCACTTGTCACTAAATAAGCTTGCTTTAAATTGTCCCTGGACATTAATTACCAGTTAATCCTCCATGCAGACACTTTTCCTTGTTACAGAAAACTGTTCTCTTATCTTGGAATAGAAACTAACAACAGTCATATTTCCTAGCATGTTCTCGTGCCAAATGAAGGCTATTGTCAGATTTTATAACTACCCATGTTTCAAATCACTTTTAAAAAGTTCATAAAGTCTATGGAAAAGTTGATGCATCAACTTACTTGTCATTGCTGATGGTCCTGCGGAAACAAAAACAAAAAAAATGCAAATTAGCCTTTACGTCTCAGTCATTTAACCCCTTAAAGTGACTAGCATCTAATTTCTCCTTTCAGTATCACACCTGGGTTAAACATGTAGGTCACGAGAATAAAGTACATGATCACCAGCTTAGATTGCTCGATTGTTATGCAAATTCTCTTTGTCAGCACTATAGGAAATCTAGAGGGCACTACGGAGAGTACATACCCTAATGTAAGGAAGAAAGTTCTATTCAATTGGCATTCAATTCTTTACACCCGAAGTCTATATTTCAATTTTTTTGCCCCCTCTTCCTAAAATTTTTCATTATCTAAGCTCCCTCAAATGGGCATTGTCCAAATACCCCTACTTAACAGTTTTTTTTTTATAATAACTGATTAGCATTCTGCTTATAAATATATTCAAATCATGCACAGGAATTTTTTTCGTACTTCCTATGGGTGAAAGGATCCACCAAATATATTTGAAAAACTATTTTTTCCCCGTTCCCATTTCAGGAATTTTTCCAAAATTTCTCTCCCTTATCAATAATTGTTCTTATGTTGACTATGTGGTTAAGTGTGGATAGCTAAAAAAGGAGCTTTCTGATAACCCTTTAATCAAGTAAAATGCAACTTCACCATATAAATATCCATACATTATCCAGCAAAAAGGTAATAAGAACACTAAAGTTCGACTCTTGGTCTTAAGTAGAAAATGCTGACCATGCTAAGACTGACCCTATAACTCCCAAGATCTGATGATTAATTCTCCCCACTAGCTGCTACACATTTCCTTGTATACTAGTTGTGAGAATTTGGTGTGATATCAAGATACCAACTTCTACCTGATGAGTTTGAGTATTCTCGTTACCTATTTGCTGGATAATGCATGTATAGCTTAGGGAGAAGTAACATGTTAATCAGTTCTGGGAGTTTAAGTTTAAAATATCTCACTTGACTTATCGGCATGCACAGGCGAGCTATGGGAATGGGCTGAAGATAGTGCGACTACAAAAAAATATATTAAAAACTATTAGTATAAATTATGTGATAGCATGATTCTGTGCAATGAGTTATTTATAAGCACAAGTAACCTTATTGAAGACAACAAAATTACGCGAGGCAGTGGGGCAAGTGCTTATTCAAACCAAACTGTATAAGAAATGTTACTAATCAGTAACTTGCATGAAAAAAGCATCACAGATCTGGACAGGTAAAGTTTAGACAGTGTGTGTGCATTATTGGCAATTTGCACTTGTGTTAAATTTAAAATACACTCATGTTCAACTTATTCTATGCACATAATTTTGTCATTCAATCTCTAAACCAACAGCTGAGATCAGAAACTTTGAATGCACGAGAAACAATAGTTTCAACTTGAGTGCAAAATTGAATTTCTTTGGGCAAGTCTCATGCTTAAAGTGCAGGACTTAGGGCCCTAGGTAAAGCCACAGTTCAATGTCTGTGAAGAGGCTTTCTCTCTTATTCCCACCCGGTCAATTTCCCATCAAAAATAATTTTGCCTCAGGCTGTCAACTGGAAGACTTTATTTAGGAAATAACTCAATTAGATTTGAATTGATTCGAAATAATCTTCTGACTGCATTATGGGCCATAATTATTCGCTCATACATGTGCTAGCTGATTCAAATGCTCATAACTTTTGAAAAGTGAGAAACGTGTAAGGATTTTTGCATGCTTTTGCCTATAAAGGTCTATTACCTAACAGGTTAAGTCCAACTTTCTTTGCAAACTAGAAAGGTTTTTAACCAACCTGACAAAAATTTCGTGGCTTAACTATGCGAATCACATATTTTACATTTGACAGTCTCTGGTGAAGTTATTTTGATGCGAATTTGACCAGGTGGAGATAAGAGATACAGCCTCTTAGTTGTCCAAGCCAATTTCACTTGCATTCAGGGTTTTTATTTTACAGCCCTTTCTTTCTTTGATTCCTTTGGGGTTAAAAGAAAAAGAGGAGAGGAAAAAGTGAAAGATCAAGTCTTACTTGTCTTCATCTCCATGCCTAGAGATGCACCTGAAAATGAAACATTCCAACATGTAAACCATCTGCTTTTGATAAACATTTTCTCCCTCATAGCGCAAAAATGTTCGAGGGATACTTATCAAAAATCTCCACTTGTCACAAAATAAGCTTGCTTAGTTGTCCCTGGACATTACCAGTTCCTCCATGCTCACACTTTTCCTTGTTACAGAAAACTGTTCTCTTATCTTGGAATAGAAACTAACAGGAACACTCATATGTCCTTGCATGTTCTCAAGCCAAATGAAGGCTACTGTTTTTATAACTACCCATGTTTCAAATCACTTTTAAAAAGTTCATTAAGTCTATGGAAAAGTTAATGCTTCAACTTACTTGCCATTGTCATTTGTGCTGTGGAAACAAAAAGGAAATGCAAATTAACCTTGAAGTCTCATTCATTGAACCTTAGATTGCTCAGTTATTAAGCAGGTTCTCTTTGTCAGCAGTATAGGAAATGTCTAAAGGGCACCACAGAGAATACTTATTCTCACTGCAAGGAAGAAAGTTCTATCAGCATTCAATTCTTCACATCCAAAGTCTAAACTTTAATTTTCTACTCCCTTTCTTAAAATTTCTCGTCATCTTGGCTCCCTTAAATGGGCATTGTCTAAATACCCCTTACTTAATTAACAGTTTTTGTTTTTAACTGATTAGCATTCTGCTAAATATATTCAAATGATGTGCAGGAACTTTTTTGGGTAATTCATGTGGGTGAAAGGATCCACCAAATAATTATATTTGAAAACTATTATTCCCCCATCCCATTTCAGGAACTTTTCCAAAATTTCTCTCCCTTATCAATAGTTGTTCTCATACATAAGATCCATGATCCTCGCAGTAGAGAGTGCTATTTCTGCAATAGCGAAGATCAGTCCTGAAAAATTGTTCTTATGTTAACTATGAGGTTAAGTGTTGATTGAGGATTGAGAAAACAAAGTAGAAAGAGTGTTAGGATTATTAGCATTTGCATGGTCCTTAAATACAGGTGGAGGCCGATACAAACAGGTCTTTAGGACTTGGTAAAGGTGACCACCACCACCTAACAAAGGTGACTCTTAATAGGGGTGAACCCTTAATAAGGAGTATCTAAATACAGGTTCAACTGCAGTACAAAATGAAACTTACTTGATGCAGCTG